GCATTCTATGATTCTATGATTCAGCACTGTTGGTGTGTTAGCAAAACACTTGTAAATGATTGACTGACTCTTCCTCCCTTATGCTGGCTAATGTAAACCTAGTAACTAAGAAAGAGCCCAACAGCCTGAGATTAGAAGACTTCCTTGATAGTGTGTCTGCCTGGTTTGGAGCCTTCTGAGGTCAGAGAGAGAAGGAGAAAAGACCAAGAATAGAGATGGGGTTTTGAATTTGATATGATGGCAGGGCAGTAAAAGTAAAGCACAGGAAGCTCTGCAAATTCAGGAAGCTGCCAGAAATACCGTTTGTACTGAGTTCCTGGTTTTGAAAGTTCCTAGTTTTTCCTAGTTTTCCTAGTTGGAACAGGCTGCCCAGAGAGGTTGTGGAGTCTCCTTCTCTGGAGATCTTCAAAACCCGTCTGGATGCCACCCTGTGCCTCGTGCTCTAGGCCTCCCTGCTTGGGCAGGGAGGGTTGACTAGATGGTCTCTAGAGATTTCTTCCAACCGCGACCAGTCTGTGATTCTGTGAAAGCTGAGCACTAATTCTCCTCTCTTCTTTCAGTGGTATCTCCTACAGGCTCTAGACCCCCAAGCCGTAACTGGAATAATGAAATGCCTGGAGATGAAGAGCTTGGTTTTGAAGCAGCTGTTGCTGCTCTTGGTAAGAATCTTTGTTGTAAGACAAGACTTTCCTCACCCATTTTCTGCCTCCTGCCTCATTCTGGTGGTGAGAGTTGTGGGGTTGTTTTGTTTTGGTGGAGAAATAAAGGCATTTACATGGATTATTGGTTCTGTATGCAAAGTGTCTTGCATGCCAGGTTTGAGGTGCCTTCGCAAAGAGCAGAATAATGGAAGGGAGGATACGGGACAGGAACGGAATGTTAAAGTAGAAATGTGCATTTTAGTCGCTCTTGTTTGTGTCAGAAAAGATATTGGGTGGGCTCTAATTGAGTGGACAGTTTCAGAGATCAAAAGGCAGTTACCTCAGAAGTGGTGGTAAAACACTAGCAGAAGTATTCCCAGGCCCTGTCATGTAACTTGGGATCTTGGCATGTACTGGATTACTGCCAGTAATCATTTATCAGCTTCAGCAACAAAAAAAAATGGTTATATATACTACTGTTTTATACTGTTGATAATATGCATATGCCTGTTTTAGAGCAGCACATGAAAAGAAGCAATAGAATGGATTAAGCAAGACCTATCCTCTGCTGCCTTATCTCTGAAAGGAGGAAGATGAGTTCTTTATGGCATGGGAATGCTTGCTTGTAGCATCTGCAGAAGCTGGAAAAGTTTGTTTCTAGATGGACTTCTGGGTTTGCCTGGACTCTTGTGGCATCTCTGGTTGCTCTGAAAGTCATAGCAAACTTAGTATTCTGGGACAGACAGCAGCGCCGGTTATTCAACAGCTGTTTCTGAAGTGAACAGAGAAATAGGGAAAAATCTTCTTTCACTTACGATAGTGAGGTGAATAAAGCAGTCTGAGGAATAGTTATTGCTCATGATGTTGTGTACAACCCTTGAGCTCACTTGTCTTTTCATCCCTTCCTTTTCTGGCCTGCAGGCATGAAGACAACTGTAAGTGAAGCAGAACATCCTCTGTTGTGTGAAGGCACCCGAAGGGAGAAGGGGGATCTGGCATTAGCTCTGATGATTACTTACAAGGATGATCAGTCTAAGCTGAAGAAGGTGTGTATCCCTTCAAAAGCAGAGAGGATAATGCAAAGTAAATTGTGTTTGTTTTTTGACAGATTTCACAGTTCTGCCAGGGTATATAAGTTGCTGTGTCATGGTCTGCCTGCTGATTTACAAGCCGGATTGTAGTGCTTATGTTCTCCCACTGATACAAAATCTGA